CTCTCCGGGGCCGGCAGTGGCTGGAAGGCCTCTGCGGGGAGCCTCAGCCTTCACCGCTTTCGGCCCCCGAGAAAGGGAGAAGCAGAAGGGCGGGTCAAAAACACGGAAACCAACATGGCCCTGGTAAATGGACACATGGACTAAAGCCGGCGCTTTTTGTTGGTGGCTGATAATTTTGAGCCACACCCAAATGAGTGCGGAATGGGCTTGGGTTTCAGTCCAAAGCTCATCCATGGTCAATTGTTTGGACATCCACTAAGAAGCGCATGTTGAGATTGGAACCCCCAAAAGCACGTGGCCCCTGAGAAACCAGGGGTTCTCAAAATTGCTCGGGGTCCCTTTAAACCATCAGTTCCCAACAAATACATTGGGTGGGGTTAGACTCCTTGGGCTCATTTTGAGGGTGTCACTTTATTGGGCTGCGCAGCATGAGGCTCCTCCGATGGGGGGGGTAGTGGTGGTTTTGGAGGGGAGTTGTGTGGAAAGTAGGGTGTATAAAATTCCCGTTTCTGTGAGCGACCAATTTGAATCCCTAGTAGTCATGAGGACAGGTCTCAATGAAGTTGGTACCACAGCAAGGGTTATTTCCACAACCGTGCAGAAGCCTCCGAGTCTCTGGTGTACCACTAGCTTTGAGCGTATCGAAACTAGAGCATGTTCATTGAACCCGCACGGTGCGGGTGAGATGGATTGCTTCCACAGAAAAAAAAAAACAAAAACAACAAACGACACACAGAAGTTGTTGCCGTGGCTCTTTGGCCTCTCTTGAAGTGGACCGGGTCTGCTGGTCTGCTCGTGTAAGCCAATTCCTGCCACCCACTTTGTGTGGCGAACGGGGGTTTGAACCGGTTGCACAGTTGGTTAAGAAGCACCAGGAGTGGCCATGGGAGTTTAGTGAGGCCACCACTGAACTGATGCTGAGATGAGGTCACCGAGGGGCCGAAGGGAACCAAACCCAAAGCTTCATATGTTTTGCCGGCCTCCCTTTTGCGGCAAGCCCAAGAAAGGGGGGTGCCCCACCGGAAACCACGGGGCCAGTACCTCGCGCCGGTTTTCGAGATGTCTCTCCAAGAAAAGCCGGGGGGCCATAAGTGTAACAAGTTTTTATCGATTTTTCCATGCGTATGAAAAGGATCCGCGTATGGGCGGTTTCCTTTTGGTTTCCCTTCCAAGCACCACGGGGGCCCTCAAAACATGACACCTGCGGGTGGAAAGGTGTGCCCCGGAACGTCCGATCCAAAAGGCCTCTCGCAATGCACTCAAAATGGCGCAACGTCGAAACACCCCGCCCCATTGTGGGGCCCGGTCTGCATTTGGTGTTCCTTTCTTTGGGAACCAGCCGTTGAAGACCATCTTTCAGCAACATTTGTTTGGGGCAACCAACCGTGCTTTAACCATAAATCCCTGTTCTGCGTTTTTTGTCCACCCGGGTTCTCCTTCAACGTACTTGACATATTAGAGTCGGAGCATATGATTTTCTGAGTGGGCCAAGCCGCAGTTCCGTCACTTTGCTTCCCCGTTCGCGTCGCCAGTACTTCGCAGCCAGCATCTTCTTTTTGCCGCCGGGCGTCCTTGGCGAGGCGCGGTTCGGGGCGCTGGGGGTTTTGGGTCTCACGACGCAGGCGGTGTTTGACAGCACACCCTCCCCCCTCCCCCTCGGTGTTTGTCTTGAGGCGTGTTTTGTTTTGCTTTCTGTCGTTGGTTCTGCGTCTTGCCTGTTTTTGTGTACTTTCCCCGGGTTTGCGTGATTCGTGTTTGTTTTTCTCAGTTTCCTGCATTTTTTTGGTGCAGTCGCGGTGTTCGCCCTTTGCTTCGGTGAAAGGAACCGGCCCGTTGCGCGGCTCGCTCAGGGCACCTACTGAACATCCCCGACCTCCCTTTCCCAAAGGTTTTTTTTCTTCTTCGCAGACCCCTCCCCACCCCCCGCACGTGGAAGAACAAAATCCTGCAGCACTCGTCAGCCCTCAATCCCTTTCTCTCTCTGGCTCTGGTGAAGCTCCTTTTTTGTTTCGTTTCAGACCCCCGAGCTATTATATCCTATCCACTTTGGGTATCTGATGGGATGAACGTCTTTTCTGGGGATGGTTTTGAACGGCCAACGTGGAACCGTTTCCATTTGAGGAGGCACCCAGCCAGCTGTGTTTGGACACCTGACAACTTGTGTTGCTTGATTCAGCCAGTGGTGGCGGTTGCCCAAAGGGGCTCCCGGATCCCCGCACTCCTTGTAAACCCAGGCTGTAGACGCTTCTCTCAGAAAGCGTTTTTGCGTTTTCGGAATCCCCTCTGGCAGGCAAAAGGATGCTGAGGATTTTCTGGATTCCTTAGACGTCAGGGATGTCTTCTTCTCCGAAGAAACTGGAGCTGAGCACTTCCGACGGCTCTCGGTCGAAACGGGTGGGATTTCTGCCAGTTGAAGAAGGGGCACTGCGTCTACCGCGCCACGCCACTGAAGAAGGAGGCACGGGAGTTGGTAAGTCGTTGTATTTCTGGGCGATTCGTGGTGTTTTGTGGGTACTTGTTTGTTGGACACCCAAAGGAAGCTATTCTCTTCGGGGGCCCCTACGCTGTTTTGACACACTTTGATTGGTCGGACTGGTGTCGGGAACCATGACCATGGCCGACAGGAGTATTGAGCATAGCACACCGAAGGAACCCACCCCACGCGTATGCCTAAGAGACGTTTGGGCGGGGGTTGTCTTGTACGGCTTAAAAAGTCCGTTCGGGGATGAAAGGCATGCTCTCTTTGCGTCGTAGGGTCCGGATTGTTTTCGGGCTTCTGGGTGTCGGAAGCAACAGTGGCCATGTTGGTTCTGCGCTGGTACTTTCTATGTTGTCTTTGTGCTTGCTTTTGTCTTGGTCGTTCTTTGTGCTCCTGCCGACATTCGCTACGCTTGTCCTTCTGATGTTCGTTCCGGTCCTCATTGCTGTTGGTGAGGTCAAACAGGGCTGTCCCTGTGAAATCACTGCGGGTCAACCAAAGCGTTCGACCACTCAGCTCTCCGCTTATAGTAGGGGGTTTGTCCACTTAATTTCACAGCGCGCCTTGAAGTGACCAGCCTCCCACACAATGCCAATCCCCACCCCCATAAATCCAACCCTAGAGGATTCCCAATCAAAGCTACCCACGAAAGGTTCTCTTCTGGGCCAAGGTTCCATCACACAAAGAAAGGTGAGAGCAACATAGGTAGGTCAACAAAGAATTACTCAGCCGTTCCAAAGCCAAGGGTTGAGCAACACCGACGGTTACTCAAGGGAGCACGAATGCCTCAGATCGGCAGCTTGAGGCCGAGCGTGGGGAGGTGCGGTGCCACGCTTTCGCCACCCACCACGCCGCTGCGGCCAAAAGGGGAGGGCTGCCTTTGGGAGTATCAGGTTCAGGTGCAGCAAAGCGAGCATTTTGGGAGGAGGGTCCAGGTTTGTTTGTGGGCTCATGCATGTGAGCATTCGGGGAGTTCTGAAAAGTGGTTCTGACGGTTTGTCGGTTGGGTCATCATTTTTAGGGTGTCGGCCAGCACCGGCAACCTGTGCGTGTTCTTCTTTCTGCGTTCTGTGTGTGGGGGGGGGGCTAGTCCTTTTGCCCGGCATCAGGAAGCCCATAAAGGCCTGGATATGTTGCACATTGAGCCAGCCCTCGCCGCTGCGGGGGGTTCTACCTGGAGTACAGCAAGTCCTAAGCCTGCATCAACCTTAGCCATCTTGGTATAGGATCAGAAGTTGGGAGCTGGGCACCGCTCATGAACCAAACAGACAGGGGTTCCGGGGGCCCGGAAGCGAAACCCCGACTCACGCCGAGGATGCCAAGAATTGGGCGCGGAAGTGCCGCTGGGCGAGGTGTCCGGAGCGGGATCGGCACGTTGCCACCTTAGGGTGCAAAAGCTGTTGAGGATCAAGTCATACTCATTTTCCGGTTTTGCCTTGCAACAGGTCGATCTGGTTGGCTTTGAGCCAATTTCGCTACACCCTCGAGCCAGTTGTGGCTTACGGCATAGCGCCAACAGCTCCAACAGCATCCCGATTTGAGCTTACACTCTTGGACCTGTGTCCCCTTCGGTTCTTTGACATGGCTCCCACCGGAGAACCCGCAAGGGGGCAATATTGGATGAAACCAATGTAACACAAGCCACTTGTGTGTCTCTAGGTCTGAGGCGCAGCCATCTTGGTGACAACTTCATGTCATGATCAATCTGCGGCTTGGGACATAGGTGATGAGACGTCAAATTCCAACCACCCACACCCCACACCCAAAACAAATGCTGTAAGAAGGACCTCCTCACGGTCTTCAATGGAAATTGAGGGGCTTCGTTCAACATGATTAGAACACAATGGTAGCATGTAATATGTCAGGAATATGAGTCAACATGGCACCGGAAATTGAGGGGCTTTGTTCAGTGTCTGATTCTTGATTCTAGGAGAAAGTTGTCGCTTCATTCTTTTACTAGCCATGTCCTTCTCGGACAAGACATCCGAATCCGTGGAGATCATTGAGGAGGAGGACGAGATGGCGGAGATGGTGTCTGACGTCTGCAGATTGGAGCAGGCGACCGGGCCAAGACGAGCAGGAATGCATTTCCAAGCTGAACATCGGCAGGGAGCAGACCGAGCCGATGGAGGGAGCCGGCCATCAGATGCCGAGGGAGATGCCGAGGTGAGGGACGGTGAGCGGAGATGGCGGAGTTCGGATGCTTTGCCAAGTCCCCGCTCACGGGCGTCGTCGAACGAATCCTCGAGCCTCGAGGCCTACATTCCTATGAAGACGCGGTCCCAACAGGAGGCGATCTGGAAGACCCACCCTCTACGAAGAACCATGCTTATGAAACGCCTTTGGGCAATTAGTGGCGCCTCCCCCATATGTGAAGCCCTGGCGTCCACGCAACGCCACATGGTGGGCTTTTGGCAACGAATTGCAACAAAGTGCTGGGGCCGGCGCCCAGGCGCATCAAGGCAGCGTGATGCAGGGGCGGTACGGACTCCAACCCGACGAAGATACTGGTTTCTGGTCCCACTTGCTGGCGACCCAGACCCATTCTTGTGGAGCTGGAGCACGAGCTCCATGCCGTGAAAGTTCAGCATGGCGTACACGCTGCCTTGGTTCTCCCAGATTACTCAGCAAGGTGACTCCCTGCTGCCTGCAGAGCAGTGTCAAAAAGCTCCAGGGCAGCAATACGTGGCTCTTGGCGGCAACCCACATTGATAGAAAGTTCAACCCCTTGCGTGGAGGAGCTCACACACACGGGATTGAGGGCTTGAGCGGGAGAGCGAACTTGGGCAATTCTTAGCTTTAGCGGGAAAGCACCAAATCCCGTGACCGGGCTTAGTGGAGTTCTGCATTCCCTCTGTCCCTGTGCGGAGGCCTGATTTGGAACCAGGTTGGGCTGAGGTCCCACACCAGTCCCTCTGCAAAAAATTCGCAATATTCAAGAGGCAAAACCGCGAGGGTAGCAACTTGGCATTGGGCTGTTCCCGTGATGATCGGTCCTGGGAACACTTTAAGGGTTCTGAGATCGTTGCGCCAACCTGCTCGCACATATTGGTTCTAAACAGCGCTGTTTTTTGGTTTCCCTTTTCAAAGTAGGGTGTAATGTTGGCTCAGCTCGATCAATGGTGGTGACTTGAGGCCACGCTGTGCCCTCGGGCACGCAGTATGTCAAGCTGGTGATGGGCGAAGTCACTGACTACTTCAAGCCCAGCGTAGGCGAAACCGCCCGGATTTTGCGGCATTTGTCTTTTCCTACACTATACAGATATATACATACATTATATGTATGTATATATATATATCGTACATATTCATGTGGGCGCATCAACAATAAGAAGCTTCCCCCCAAACAGCTTGTTCTAAAAACAATTTGGGGGTCAGATCGGCCGTTCCTTTAGTATTGGTTAATGCTGGTCCAGCATTGGTTTAGTACTGCTTTGTGTTGCTGTAGTACTGGGTTGGTAGGTGTTGTTTTAGTATTTGTTTAGTATTGCCTTGCGCTGCCTTAGCACTGGCTTAGTGTTGGCTTGCGTTTGTTTAGCGTTGGTGCTAGGGTCTGCCGAGTACTGGTCTGTTTTTCAATATTCCTTTGAGCTGGCCCAGTTCTGTTTAGAACTGGTTTAGTTGTGGTTTGCTAGGTTTTTGGTTTTGCGGCCTGGGTGGCCTGTGGCCTACCCCTTTGGAAATTCGGAAATCGGCTGTGTAGGTTCTGGCTTTCGATTAACAAAGTGCTGGACGCACAGGGATGGGGGTTGTTTCCGCACCGCCACAAATCGGAGTAATTTTCTAGGTTCCCCAAGCAAACAAGCACTTTACACCCTTGTCATTTGTGGTTCCTGATTTTTGAAAACGTTCTTCTATTTGGTACCCTTCGATTAATCGGCCACGGACATTACTTCCTTTATTTCTTTGCTTTCAGTTGCCTTGTTTCTTTTTGGGGGTGGGCGGTTCTCCCCCCGAACGACGGCAAACGCTCCACCCAAGTCAGGGGACACACCAGAACCGTTTTCCGGGCTCCACGCCTTTTGCTACCCTAAGAAAAAGCAACACCAGAAACACGAGCAATTCCCAGTGACGCGGGGCACACCTTGGGGCAATGCTATCCTTCTAAGACATCAATGTAAAGGACAAAGTGCCCAGCATTGCAACCCACTGGCGTAATAACTTGAAGTCAATAGTTCTAACTGATAGGGTTGTTTCCTTAGGAAGAAACACATATGTTCTAAATACAACCTTCCCCGCATTTTTTTGCTAGTCGCACAATGCTGACTTGACTTGGAACACGTTTGACATAATTGTGTTGCATCCGTCCGGAAACGCTCTGTGAATCTGCAGGATGGGAGCAGTACTTGTCACAGCAGTGTTTTGTTGAAAGGCTTCTATGCTGTGCTATGGAGGGATGTCAACTCTGTTCTATGGTTGAACTCGTGGGTAGATCTGTCGTTTGGGACTAGAGCGCTGGCAATCGGCTTCAAATTCGTGGTTTCCTTGAACTGTTCGAGAGGACCTTGCTTGCCGTATTGTGTCTTTGGGCGGTATGTTGAGCTATGTGCCGGGAACCAACGCAGGAAAGCTCCGTGCCGGGTCCAGCGGAACTGGGTCGGCGCCTGTCCTTTGACAAAACTGCGCGATGGGGCCCGTGAAGGCTGCGCTTTTCAACGGGACAACCAAGCAGAGAGCTCCAGCTTTTGCAGTTTTCGGTGTGTGTCATCCAACGCTTGGTTCCCTGGTCCTTGAGTTAGGCAGTCGGACAGCAAACCTGGTTCTCGGTTTTGGGTAGACAAGCGCTTTCATTTGCGCGTAAACGCACCAAACACGGAGGACATTGCCATTCCAAGGGTTTGGCTTCAGGTTGCTGCGTCGAAACAGGCGGTGCAGAGTTTGCTCCTGCTTGGAAGACTTGAACTGCGCTGTGGTTGAAATTTCGCTCAAGCGTCGTCGCAACCCGCTGCACATCGAGATGTGATGGAGAACAGGCACGCGTGTGGTTTGTGAGAGAGGATGGGGGTTGCATCCTCGAGTTCAACCTGGGAATTCCCAGCGTGGCTGCCAATCATATTGGTTTACTGCCGGCTCAACCCCAATGTCCACTCGAACCCGAGGGACAACTTGGACAAGTTCCCGGCTCAAGGGCCAAGAGCCGAGATCCTGGCTAAAGGGTGCAAATGAACCGGTGTGGTGTTGAATCGCAGCCACAAGGATGCTAAGCTTGCTCATCAGAACTTGCAGAAGCTACACTTGAGCAGGGACATTGACTTGCATCCGGCCCACCCGTTGCTTAGCTAAACCCAATACTATTTGGAGCCTCTTGCCGGGATAGTGTTCTTGAAAGGCTACAGCTTCTGTGACATGCTGACGTCGTACGACAAGCACCTCTTCAGCAATGATGCGGAGAACTGGGCCGCTCGGCTGACGACACTTGGGTAGGTCGGTCAAAATCAATGTGCGATGCGCGAGCAATGTTTCACAGAGGTTAAGCAATATTTTGCAGCTCCCACGTTAATCTGCGAGATCCTATGCTTGATGGATTGCTTGGTTTGCCTTTTGGTGTCCCACTGGGGATACGGATTGCTTTATAAGCTCCGCCCCATTTTGAACAACCCAGCGCAGGCAACACAATGGGTGTTGGCTCCTTGCTTGGTCACGGGGCCTGGCGCTTTTGCTCGATCATCTAAAAGGTTGCAGATCATGCGCCAAGCTGTAAGGGGAGATGGTGGAAGGACCCCAAGCTCTTTTGCAAGGTTGCGATGCCTCACCTCTTGCGCAACAATAGACAACTCTTTAAGATTCCGGTCCATGTCATGTGAAAGTATGAAACCTGGCTGGCAAATTCACCGCGTCGGTTACGGTATGCTAGCTATCCGGGATCGGCGGATCGCATGTTTTTTGGAGCTGGCAGCTGGTTTGAAAGATCACCCAAAGGAACACCGCCGAAAATGAATTTGCCACTGTGACCCAAAGTGTCTCAGGCTAAGCCAGAGTACTATCCCCACCACAACCACGACGGGGGTTCCTTGTGGTGGTGGCCCAAGCAGACCCAATCGCGGCACGGGGACGAGCGCCGGGGGCCCAAGCTTGAAGTAGGATATGTTGGAATGCCCTCGAGATAGTGCAAACAGGAAAAGAATGGATGGATTTGTTGAGCTTCTTTGCCGGCAAAACAAGAACCCCCACCGCGCCCTCAAAAAATGGAGAAAAGGGGGGGCCTGGGGGAAGAGCTGTTGATGGTCCCCTGTTCTGGTTTTTATGTTATTCTCAAATCTGTGTTCCCCCTTATTCGTTTTTAAAAGGGGTGTTTTGGGGAGCTTATTTATCGTTTTCGTTAAGGTAATCATTTGGGTAAATTGTTGCCTTGTTCATTGTTGGGCTGGGGGCCGACATTTTTTTCATTTGAAAGAGTTAGCCCTTTTAGTAGTTATCAAGTTCTGGGGTGTTGCTGGTGTATTTGTTTTGTCAGTGTTTTTCTCACTAATTTTCATTTATAGGTTAAAAGTTCGCTATAATTATAACATATAAGAATATAAATGTTATAATTATGGTTTAGTTTTGAATTACACTAGTTTATCAACACTTAGTTTAAAACTTAGACTTGTTACACCTTTAAAACTCATTGTATTTCTGAATTCATCTATACGACTGTATATTTCTTGGTGCGCTGCTCTCAGAACATCTTGTATATTATCTTTGGTTACATTATCTACAACATCACTACTAAGAAACAGTAACTAATAGTGATAAAACGGTCGTCATCATGATAATTGAAATGATGAAACCTTACAAGTAAATCCGCCTCAACAATTATCTTCACTTTATGACTTTCATCGTCTACAAGACCATCAAACAAACAATCTAAGGTGTCATATTCATTAAAAACTATATCTTTGATACTTTTAATGCTCAAAGGTATATTTCTTGAAATGAAATACTCAATGAAGTGTCTCTTCATAATATCACTACCGATAAGACTGGGAAGAATCCCCTGTTCTATCTCTCTTTGTGTTCTGTTTATTTTATATCGCTGTTGTATTCTCTTTAAAGTCTCAATATGATTATGTTTTATTTTCAATTACTCAGGTTCCCCTAATTTATATGAAATGACACTTTTTTATACATCAACAGGAAAGCTAGTCCAATTCTCAACCATAAAATTATTCTTTGACATTTTACCCTTACTCATTTTTCTCGTAATATATAAGGCTCTTTCTCTTTAAGTAGTTTTGGGTAGAGGTTGCTGGTTGGGCAGTCTGGGTTTCAGGTTTAATTTAAATGTCTTAACCTTCTTGTTAGATTATAAAAACTAGGTTTAATCATATTATAATTGAATAATATCATTAAACTAAATCACTCACGCTTTCCATTCACCTATTCCATCCCACCAAAATTCAATAATTCGCATCTGTCCATCTACTAGACTGCCTTCTTTGTTTAGTTTCCGTATCGCACCTGATAAGATATAGTGGTTAATAATCATTGCTTCAAACTTTCCATCTCGGTTTAACTTTTTACCACACTCTTTTATAATGTCTTCGTCTGTTAGGTTTTCATACATTTCATTAATGATGTCAAACCGAACAAAGGAGTATATCGTCATTAAGTTTAGTCCGCTATTGTCTCTAAACCTGTTAATGACAACTTCCCAGAATTCCTCATCTCCAGTTGTAGGCAAGGGTGGTTATTCACAAAATCCATTATTTATTTATCCTCTTCTTCAATTAATATGATAAGGTGCTATTCCTTTAAGTATTTTTTTTTAATGTTGAGGGTTCGGGTTCTGGTTGGTTTGCTTTAACCATTCCTGATGTTTCTTAGTTTTAATATGTTTGCTCATATCTGCCTCTCTTATAATTGACCCACACTCACCCTCAATCTGTTCTTTGTTCTTTTCAGTAAGGGCAACTTTGCGTGTTTCATAAAGTTCTCTTTGTCTTTTGGTTAATTCTTCTTTATTCTTGATAGTGTTCTCATCTTCTTTCATTGATTTCGCCTTGATGTTTGTACTAACTTTTCCTTCCTTGTTCATTCACTTCTTCATTAAACAGTTCTCGCTTTAACCTTGCTCTTTCAGCACAGTATTCCTTGTTATGTTCATACCATTCTTTTCCTATTTGACTTAATCTTTCCTTATTGTCCTCACGGTATTCTTTATGTGATCTTCCTTCTATCTTTTTATTGACACAGTCATTGTTCCTGATATGAATGCCTTCTTGTCTTTGAAGCATTGATTTACTATCACTTGGAAATGTCTCTATCAATTCAATCTTACAATTTTCAATGCCAAACTCATCAAACAGCAAAACAACATTTGTATGTTTCTTTCCAGTTCTTAAGTATTGCTTGTATTTATCCCTATGCCTTGCCATTCTCATGCATAAACATTCACAAGTGCTTCCTATATTACATTTGTTCTAACCATTATCGGTTATTTTGTATATCTTACCATTTTTATAACAGTTCTCCATAATTATCTTTACTTATCATTTCTTTATGATATTTTCTTTCTAATTAATAATATAATGGCAAGAATATTAACAAAAGACGAGGTTATAAGTAATGTTTATTACAATCTGGATACTGGGTATGGTAGTATTCAAGCAACTCACAAGAAGGCAAACGAAGAAGACGCAACCATACCATTAGATGATGTTAAGTCGTTCTTAAAGAAACAACCAAACAAACAAATCAAAAATTACAGAGGCACTAATTCTTTTACTGCTCCGTTGTCTAGATTCCAGTACCAAATCGATATAATGCACATGACACCACTTGTTAAGGATAAAGACACACCAGAGTATGCTTTAGTTGTAATTGATATTTTCAGTAAATTAGCGGATGTAGTGCCTATGTTCAATAGAGATGGTGAAAGTGTTGAGAAAGCATTGAGAGAGAGTTTCAAAAGAATGGGATATAGTATGTCGGTGTATTCCGATGACGATGGCGCTTTCGCTAACAAACACAATGTCCAAAAGTTTTTGAAAGTGAGGGAATAAACCACATTGTCACGAAGACCCACGCAAATGTAGCCGAGCGTTTTATTAGGACGATGAAAAACAAAATTCACGATAGAGTTAGGTTGAACAACATGAAATGGACCGACGCCCTAACACCAGCATTGAAACAGTATAACAGCACATCACACTCATCAACAAGGATGACACCGTCCGAAGCACACAAGGACGACAATGAAATAAATGTAAAGGTCAATCTGAAACTACGAGAAAAGAACAAAAGAAAGTATCCCAGAATAGAGGAGAACGACAAGGTAAAGTGTTCCAAAAGAAAAGGGGTAATTACACCGACAGAAAGGAGTATAACTCTAAATGGTCTAATAAAATATTCAATGTTGATAAAGTTGAATATGATATTATGCGTAATACAACTTACAAAGTAGCAGGAATAAACAAACCGCTTTTGAGACACGAAATTTTGTTAGTTAATGATTAAACGTATTTCTTGGTGTCTTCGTTATACTTGACTTGATAGTAATCCAGACTTGATTGTTTAGGTTCTTTTATGACTTTTTCATTCAGTTTTTTAACATAAATGTTTCGTTTATTTTTGTATTCGCTACTGTCTCTATCTACTTATTTTGCTTGATAATTGTTATTGTTATTATATGTAGGTTTAGTATTCATGCTCTTTAAGATTTTCAGTATGTTTTCATTTTCCTCCAACACTTTTTCTAATCTTGGAAACAACAACTCTAAACTACTGTCAATGTTCGCTAACTGTTCCTCCATATGTATATATACTAAATTATAAAACTAAACTTTTAAAACTAAATGTTGCAATTATGTTAAATCTACTCTGTAAATACTATTTTTTCATCATTTCACGTATAGTTTCCTGTGTTTCCTTATCACCATTATCGGATTGTGATGCTTGCCTTCCCCATTTGATAGCAATATTATGAATATCTGTTTCTAAGTTGATACTGTCTTTAGTTTTATCAATACTCATTTTCTTATCATTTTTACTTATTTTGAAACTTGTCGGAATACACGAGCATTTACAATTTCCTGTCTTTTGTATTTCTAACTCATTTTTAAGTTCTAACATCTTTTTACACATCGGACAAGCAAACTCAATAACTGATGTTTCTTTAACAATTTCTTCTCTTTCTTCATCAGCTGAAGAAACAACTGGTTCGGTCTTATTCTTTTTCTTTCTTCCCATTTATATTAATATTTACAGTTTTATTTTTGATATGTTGTATCACAAACTTAATTAATTCTAATGAATAATAACAGCATTTTTTGGTTTTATTATCAGTTATAACAACTTGTTCTATATTCTCTACTTCATCTATTATATCAATATAATCTGAATAACATCTATTCATATAAAATAATAAACATATAATATTCTCTACATAACTTTAATATTATTTTATTATGTCAGATGTCGCTGATTACAATTTCAATCAATCTAAATATGAGCACGTGCCAAAACTACCATTCCGCTCCATCGTTGTTGCTTCAACAACAGGTGGTAAAACAGTTTTAATCCAAAACCTTATCCTAAATGTTTATAGGGACTGCTTCGCCCGTATATTCATTTTTAGCCCGTCAGTTCATAATGACCCTACCTTTGTCGAAGTCAAGAAATACCAAAAAGATAATATGAAGGTTGATGATGAAAAAGAAAAGTTACATTATGACACCTACCAACCTGAAGAACTGGAAGAACTACTTAACACACAAAGACAGATAATTCATTATATGAAAGAACAGAAGATGAAGACACTACTTTCAATTTTAATAATTGTTGATGATTTTGCAGACGACCCTAAATTTGTTAGATATAGTAAGTTACTTCATGGACTGGCAACGAGAGGTAGGCACGATGCCATTAGTTTTTGTTTAAGCGTTCAAAAAAATCGTATCCTAGCACCAATCATTAGGTTGAATTCAAGTTCGTTGTATATCTTCAAGTTAAATAATGTATCAGAGTTAATGTCATTCATTGAGGAAAACTCTGCCATTGTTGATAAAGAGCAACTGTTAAATATGTATCATAAAGCAGTAGATGATGCACCTTATAGTTTCTTTTATGTTAATATG